TATTACTGTATTCTTACAATCACATTTATATTCACCAATATTAATTTTACCTGTTTATTAAAAGCTTAATAGTGTGTAATCTTTCCAAATCTATGAACAAAGGGGTTATATAACTGAAACAATAAAAAACCACTACTAACTCTGGGTAGTCCCTTTTACATTGCTTGAAACCAAAGGTAGACTTTTCACTCTGTATCTCCTAAATTGATACCATTTCATTGTAAAACACAGCTGTAGTGATCCACATTATATCCCCAGAAACTCAGCTTGGGCAAGCTTGACTTAATCTGCAACTACCTTTTCCTACATACAGACCTGTCCAGTGTATGTCGTTTTTATACCTGTTGACTTAAATACGTAACATTCAGATAGTCATTTGTATAAATTAGGACACTAATCATGAAATATTAAGACTAATGTAAGGCCTTAACCAAATTTCATGGGTATTGAGATTTTAATTACTTTAATGTAGTCTTGTCTGTTGTCCAGTTGTGAAAAAACATGCAGCATACATTAAAAAATAGTGTTTAATTTACCCTTTTAAATTTCATTATACTATAACTTACAGCAGTAGTTCCCTATCTGACCCAGGGACTGCCCATGGTTTACAAAGCACTTCCCAGTGGCTTGCAAACAGCTGCTTGTTTGGGGAAGGATTAATTAGTTAATAGCTTTAAAGAGTTTTACAGATGTAATGCATCATACATGGGCTGAGGTCCCATCATACGTAAGTGCTTTGTTGAATCAGAGCCTAATTGTTGATGTTATTAAATTTAAGCTTCAGGACTAAATGAGTGATGGGAACATAAATATGTTCATTTTGTCTTTGACTTGCTAGTGGCAGAAAACTTCTTCCACTTCATAACCATTATGTCCTTCAGGCATTTATCTTAAATATTGCTTCCAGTCTGTGGTATTAGTTAAATAATCATATATTATTACAGTGAACTGCAGCATTTTTATCCGCAGTTCAGTGCTATTTTTTTAATAGAAAGCACCCTTATTTAGCTAAATATGAACTACTGCTAAACATTAAACTGATTTAAAATGTATATTTATATGTTTGTTGTTATTGTTATATGTTGTCCCCATCCTCAATATAGCAAAACTATGCTCCAAATAACATGTCTAGCACTAAATTTATTGTTGAAAACAGATTTTCAGTTAACCTGGTTGACTTCAGCTGCTACTTAAAAGGCTCTGCGATATACACTGCCAGCTGAATATCACTCTTTGCTTAAATTAGCTTATTCCAAAGTTATCATTTTATTACTAAGATCCTTTCATTAAGATTAAATATTTAAAAACTCAGAACCATTAATTAAGGTTAAGGTTCATACAGTATTTTGAAACATTAACATTTTATTAATGCTATTTAATGCTCTTCTAAGTCATATGCAGATACAGAGATTATCATGAACTGCTGTGTTTGTTACTCGAAGTTTTAGTGTTGTAACATTTGGGTGTCCTCATCCTAATTTGAGTGACCAGCATATTTTCCAGTGCTTCAGCAGTTCTGTCCTTGCTGCTATTTTATTCAAGAAGACTCTGTACAGCAGTGGAGTAAGAGGTAGCCAGACAAATACACCGTTGATTTGTTGCATTTTAAGTGATGCTGTCAGCATAACGATGCCATGAAATTGATTTAGAAAGAACCCATTAATTTATTGCATTTCCTTATGTATTCCAGCTGCCAATCACACCACTATAAATTGTGGAAATGAATATGAGCTTTATGTCATAGGACCTTAAAAATTACGTTCAAAATGTCCAGTAGAATTTCTCTCTCAAAACTAAGCAGTAAAGAGTTAGTCAGAGTCCATTCATAGTGCCTGACAAAGTAGGCAGTCGCATACGATCTTGGGCCCCCCCCTCGGACATTTTGAACCTAATTTTTAGGAGAGGCAGTTAGCCATGTTAGTCTGAAGTCCAGCAAAAGGTAAGGCAGGTGTCACTTAAGGCCCCTTCTACACATTACATGTATTATGCAATTACCTAGTTAACTGCACAATTAATTTAAACCAACTACACGTGCAAATTAACTATCACACCTTTAAAAAGGTCCAGTCAGCTATGAAGTTAGAGCTGGAAAGTGTGTAACAATCCAAATTTACTTTGCTGCAACTTCAAGCCATTGGTCCACATCCTCCTCTCTGAAGCAAGAGTGAAAATGTGCATTGCCTCTTCTTTATGGCGGCCCTTCAAGTATGTGAAGACTGCTATCATATTCTGTCTTAAGCGCCTTTTCCACAAGCCTAACATGCATGCTTAGATCCTTCAGTCTCTACTCATATGACTTGCCTTCAAAGTTTTTGATCATATTTGTTGCCTCTGGAACCTCTCTAACTTCTCCACATCCTTTTTAAAATGAGGAGACCAGAACTGCATGGAGTACTCCACATGAGGTCTAAGCAGTGCCAAGTAGAGAGGCACTATCCTGTGTCCCTCCATTCCTGTGTCTTGCACCTAATGCTTCTGTTGATACAGCCAAAAACTGCGTTGGCTTTTTATGCAGCTGCATCACACTGCAGACTCTTACCGAGTCTGTGGTCTACCAGCATGCCCAAGTCCTTTTCCACAGAGCTGCCCTCCAGCCAGGTAGCCCCCATTTTGTATTTGTGTTTTTGATTATTCCTCCCAAAGGGCAGCACTTTACACTTGTCCGCATTGAACTGCATCCTGTTAGCTGTTAAACTGGTCTGACAGTAGGAACAACAGAAATAAATGGGTGCTAAATTTTCTTGGGGAGAAACTAACAGTAACTCATGACTTGATTCTGTGATGGGCTGAACATATTGGCCCCAGTCCCAGAAAGCACTTAAGTCCATTTCAGTGGGACTCGGGCTTGCTGATGCTGAAAGTAAACTACTCACTTTAGTGCATTGGGACCTCTTGTGTTTGTTCTTTTGCTAGATCCCATCTTCCTGGACTGTGATGAATTTGGGACCGGACCACTATAAAGTATACCGTTTAGCGGTCTTTTATAAAATATCGGCAGTTTATGTATTTGTTCAGTGCCTGCTTCTCTTCTTCAACTCCATGTACAGCCCACAGGATTCTCTATTTATATTTGTTTTAAACTTGGTTGCACTTGATTTTTTTCTGAATAGAAGCACATAAAACTGTCATTTAAAAGCACCCTTTTCACACAAACACGACTGTGCTTAAATTAGAGCAGACTTAATGTGGCATGAGAGTAACCTGCTTTCTTCCTTTTTCTGTTATTGTAAAAAAGGCTCAGGTTGAGGCCAAGAAAGAACATGAAGGCGCAGTTCAGCTGCTAGAGGTAAGAAAGCCATCCTTTGCTTGTTGTTATATCAGCACTATTCCAACCCCTCCAGTATATAGTGGCCTCTGATAGGCTGTAGAATCGGTGGGGAAATACTCCTCTTCATTTTTAACTTACCTGTGTGATAGAGGATGCAGTTACAGCTCAGTGGCTAGAGCACTGAACTGGAAAGCAGAAATCCTGTGTTCCCTTACTCTCTCTGTGCCTCTGTTTCTACAAGACAGAGATTGTGATACCTTTCTTTATATTCTGCTTTGAGACCTATTGAAGATGAGGACCATTGTATTTGCATTAGTACTGCTTATATACTTTTTTCCATTGCAACAGAATCAAAGTTTCATTTACAGATAGTGGCCAGTAATGGTAAAGGCTGGACTGCCCTGGCAACACATGTCCATCAGCCTTCCTACTATTTACACATTGAGAGAAGAAAAACAAAAATGGACCTACCAAATCCCCTTAATTTTTATTATAAATCACGCTTCTTAACCATAAATCCCTTCATGTTACCATGTTTTCCTCCATTCTTCCCATTTTTAAAGATGAGTATAATCATAGAACTGAAAAACTTACCATTGTTATATGGGATTTTCAATGGCATTCAGTATCATCCTAACTCTTCTCCCACTGAAATCAATGGTAAAACTTCCCCTGACTTCAGAGTGAGCACATATAGGCTAACAGTAGCATTGTTTAAAAACCCTACTCACAACTAAGATATAGATATGGTTGGCTCAGTGTTTTCAGTAATCCATATGTTTCCAATAGGAAATGTTTTCAATACTGTAAATGCTCAAGCTAGTTAACTGCACATATTATTTAATTACCTATAGTACTTGGCAAATTTTAACTGCCACCTCTGTAAACATGTAACGGCATGTCAAATTATAAGCCAAGACTTTTCAAATGGGCTAGTGATTTTGGGTGACCCACTAGAGAGATCGTAAACGACCCTGATTATCAACAAGTGCTGAGCTCTCACCCTCTGCTCTCATAGCATACTAGAAAGATTATTACATTGAAAAATGTAAATGCCTTGAATATTGAGAGATAATTCAGGTAGTCTGACTGGCTAATTTACAGTGTGCTAATTGCCCTGTACAGACTAAGACAACATCCATCCATAAAAACTGGAAATCTATATTAGTTTCATTGGCAGCTCCTCATACCAATGATGACCTTGGCAGAGGGCATTTTCTGGGGATTAATGAGTAGCTGTGTTTATCGCCCCTCGGCTGCACTTCCAACCTTCTGTCTATTCGAGCTGGTCATTAATCCACAAGAAAGTCCTTAGCGATACAGTCACTTACGGCTTCAGAATATATAGTGACTTTTTTCTTGTGTAAAACTGACATACAGAATAAGAGCCTGATCACTGCAGATTTAGCCCTACACTTCCGCTGGGGCAGAGCTGGATTTCTGAGAGTGGATTAAAACTTGCCATCACTCTGGGGCCACTTGCATATACTTTCAGATTAAATATATATGTCATTATTTTGTTCATGCAACCAAATTAAATGTGTACCAAGTTACACTGCCAGATTTGAAGGTTGTTTTATCCTCCTGTTGTAAGGGCCTTTTTGTCTCCCCTGGCTAGATGCTCTGGCATGCAGAGAGGCCAGGATAGGTGGCAAGGAGAGGCAGCAGGCAGTTAGAACCAATCAGGACTTTTTGGATGACTTATTTTTGGATTTGGTCTGAAAATGCCAAAATGTTGAAGCCAAAACTTTTTTGCTGGAAAGTGTCCATTTCAATGAACCTCTTGTTTCAATTTCATTTGGGGAAAAAAATGTCAAAAGAGTTGCAGAGTCACTTTCTGATATTACTGATTCAAAATCAGTTGCTTTCTTATTCTGGCTTGAAACAGCCTTTTATTTCAAAATGTAAACTACCTGTAGACAATACAAATATATTCTCAAAATCTAAATGAAATTCCTTACAATGATCAAGGTATTTTGTTTGATCAAAACCTGACTTTCTTTTCTTTTCTTTTCTTTTCTTTTTTTAAGATTGTAGGTTTGCAATTTCAGAATTTGAAATGCTCCTTGATTTGGGATTGAGACACTTTTCAGAGTTTTCCTGGGATGGGAAAAAATGTTTTCAGCCCAGCTCCAGCAAAAGCCTACTTGAGGTTACTTCAAGCTCCTGAGCATCCCTCAGCTTCTATTTCGCTAGAAGCTGAAGGTGATCAGCACCCTAATGAGATCTGCTGCATGATCCTGTGGCAGCCAAGACATTTATGGTGCCTTGGTTCTGTATTGTTAAAACACTTGGGCTGCTGTGAGGAGGTCCCTGTGGCAGGCATTAACAATACCTCTAAGGGAACATCAATATGAGTCAGTGCAATTCTGGTCCTAACTTTCCATTGTACATACTGTCCCTCCAAGTACAGCAAATGCTACAAGACTGTTGACCAAAATAGCAAAATGACGCACTAATGCAGCCAGATTTCTTTCTCTTGTTGTTCTTTTTTGTTTCATACATAATAGATTGTCAATGATGAGTAGCAAAGTGTTCTTTTCTGCCTTAGACCAACATGACACAAGGATGTTATGAAGTAATAACCATTTAATAATACATAAGTTCATCAGGAACATACAGTGCCCATATAAATAGATTGGCTGCAGCTACCTAGCAACTTGTCAGTGCTCAATTTGGTAAAGGATGTCTTAAGAATGTCTTAGCACTAAGTTCTGGAAAGAAAAATCATCTTTAGTTCTTTTCTTTTCTCTTTCCTTTTTTCTTTTTCTTTTTGCCATACCCTGTTCTTCCATTCATGTACTTGCCTCCTCAAGCACTGATGGAAGAAGAACCTTCTTAGTGCAGTAACCCCCTGTAGAAAAAAGATTGTTTCTTTTATGTATTGTTTCCTCTAAAAGCTCCTTCTTCCCCAGGAAATGCTTTAGTCATATGCTTTCATTATTATCATATATATGAAAATTGATTTTAACAAATATAAGATAATAATTTAATATTTGGTGGAAAGTATATGATGCAAGAGGAAATAAGTAGAAGCAAAGCAGACAAGTGATCATTTATACCTTTTGAAACCTAATCGAAGTTTCTGTTTATCCAATTTGTCTGCTATCTCCGTTTTGCGTAACCCCATTAAACAAAGTTTCTTAAGCTTTTGCTTTCTATGGCCTATTAATTTTACCATTGTTTTTATTTAACCCTTAAGATTCGAGATCAGCAGCAATATTGATTTCTGAAGTATACTGTTGTGCGGTTTGCTTTTAATGCATGTTTTCACACGTGGTAACTGTTTCAATGTATTTTGTTTTGAAATGTTTGAAAAAAAGTGCTCAAACCTGTTTTTTATTTCTTTCTTTATTTCACATTTCTTTGTTTACTGTGACTTGTTTGGAAACTATTGTTTTGCACTTCACCCAGAACACCTTGGACAGCATGCAGGTATTTTAGGGCATAAATTCTCCCTTCCCTGTACGTGACAGTCCTCCCCACCGTTGCATGGAATACATGCTAGAACCATTGTTATGCAAGCATGCTTGGCATTGATCTTTTTAAAGCCAGGGAAGAAGGCAAGTCAAATCACTAAAGCCAGCAGTACTTTCTGCAACAGATTATTCTGTGAACGGGGCATGATGGCAGCTCAGCTAGCAAACCTGAAGTGACGTTCTTTATGAGCATGCCCAGTAAGAATGGTTTGAGATTTTATGCACAGTTGCACCTTTCAGATTGTGTGGATTTTGTCTAAATTCAGATTGCCTTTTTTTGTTAACACAAAAGGAATTGTTTTACAATGCAGTTTCTTGAAAATGTGTTCTCCTGAAGTGGAATTATTGAACCCTGCACCCTAAAGCAACTCCTGCTACTGGTAAAGTTAAACTGCAGGACTTTTGTGATAAGTCTGAATTCATACTGTCCACCTTAGCTGGTTGCTCATCTCTTCTTACCTCCACCTGTTGCATACAATAGATGCCTTGATGACATAGATGAAGTCTGCTTCGTTCTAGATTTTAGAAGATGCTTTAGATTTTAGAAAAAAACACTGTGCACTTGCACAAGAAACTTGGTAAATAACAGGGGAAATGGTTTTTATCCAGCCTGCAGGTCACCATTTACCATACTGCCATGCAGCCTGGCACAAGAAGCAGTCTCTGATTTAGAGAGAACTGGAACTAGCATTTTAGGGCTGAGGTGGATTGAAAGAGTCATAGCATTGGATAAGAAATCACACCTATGCAGAGGGCAAGCACAGCACGTAAAGGGATGGTTATGTTTTGTATTGACTTGCTGCACAGCCACACATTATTGTTGGTAAGGAACAAGGAGACACATTTGCAGGGACAGGGCTAAGTACAGACATTGGGGAGGTTAAATTGGTTTCAGAATGGCCTCTCAATTTAAATTCAGGTCGTCCCAGTGCTGACCTTACACTTACAGACCTGGTCCCAGTGATCGGCAATTGGGCTGAACCTGTAACTCTACAGAAGTTCCACATACAGCAACCGGTCTAAAAATTGTAGAACCTGGTTTAAAACCTGGATCTACGTAGATCAAACCGGTGCATGAAACTTTTGTACATTTTTCCTGCGCAGCCTTAGGGCTGGGAAAACCCCGCCACTGGCCCCAGCCCCAGGGTTCCTCTTTTCACCCCCTCCCCGCCGGGCTATTTTTTGCCTCCACAACCAGCCAGTCTGAATCCCCATCCCACAAGCCGCTTTGGGTGCAGCTGCTTTTATCGGCTTTCACCAGAGCCAAGCAAGTAAGTCTTGGTGGGGA